GATTGGTGGACAATGAGTATGAGACAGTTTCCACTTTCTATTTGCACTGTGCCACCAGACTCTGTGAGGTGTCTAAACGTCGCTCGTTACTGTCTGTAAGTTCACTTCATAGATTTTGATCTTTAAAATATTATGTCTTTAACTTTTGCTCAGTTCTGTGAACATTTCCATTACCTGTTTGAAGATGGTTTTGCAGTTTTTCATGTTTTTGACAGAAATTTGGATCTTCTGAGAGACTGTGCAAGAGAAAGGTCAACAAATACGTGTCAGAGAGCACAATAGTACCTTCACTTGCCATCCACGTGAGAAGCCAGAGGAGGAAAGCCGTGACGCTTGTGTTGAGTAGGTATGCTTTCGTACTCGGCAGTAAATAACAGCACAAACATAAAAGGAAACAAAGTGGAAGATAGACAGTATTATATTTTCTTGCTTGTTTGGTACTTATATATGCATTTACAATATTTTGGGGGTAAATTAACCCTCTGAAGGCTCAGTGGTGAGCATTCAGATTCATTCATTCAAGATTCACATTATGAATCCATTCCAAACAGTCAGAATTAAATTAAAAAATTGTCATTTTTTAGACCCATTAGGCTGCTGTATGTTTTCTTATCACATCCTTTTAATTCTAACGAATTCTAACAAATTTACACGATAACAGCAAGAATTCAAAGCTTTATAGCCACTCTGTTTCAAAACAGGCCAAAACCTCTGAATACACATTTTTGCTTCACTTCATAATTGTTCTGTTTTCTTAGTAATGCATTTTTTTAAAATGTATTTTTAGTTGTATAATTTTATAAATGCAAGAAAAACATTGTTAACACATTTATAATAGATTGTGTGCCTTGTATTGTTAGGCTCAAGCATGTTTTGAGGCTAATTTTCTTTCTCTTTTTTTGCAGTTTTGTTTTTGGCTCTTTTGATTTTAGATAGTGTTAGAGAGTCACTGATGATGACTCAGTCCCAAGAGGATTCACTCCACGTTTATTTTTCTTTTAAAAGCAAAATTAGCTTTAAAACGAACCAGTTAATTAACATTACTTGTGTCTTTCCTTTAGATTTTTCTGTAGATCTGCCAGCTGACTCAGTCTTTGATGGTAAGAATCTGTGTTGAATGTGATGTGTGAAGTTGTACAACTCATAAAATGGTCATGTAGGTTTAATTGAAATGGATGAATTCATTGTTGAGGACTTTTAGATCACGACAAACATCAAACTGAGCACAGAGCAGAAGATATTTTCTGAACCGTTATGAGCTTGTTCCATGGAAAGTGCTCTGATTGGACAATTTGATGCACTTCATTTAATTAACCAGAAATTTCTAACACAAATTTAGAAAAAATATAACCACTAAATCACTCTGGTCCAGTGTATTGAAACCAAAAAGAAAGGGAAAGGTCCAATTGCACAAGTTTATTTTAATATGTCATAAAATTGTACAAATTTTTTGTTACAATAGTACAAAAATCCAGGCATTCGTTTATAATGTTAAATGTTACATGTATGTTTATTCACATGTGAAAAAGTTATGTTTGAATACTATTAGACCCTTAACCCTACAGTGAGGGCTTTGTTTGCTCTGCTCTGCCCTGTCGGAGGCACTTTGCTGCTATTGTTTGGTCCACTTGGCGTCTTAAATGGAAGCGTTTAGTGTAAATCAGTACCATGCTGTTCTGAATCGTGACCTTTTCCTCAAATAAAACAAAGCTCATCTGATGGGAGTGGTTACCTCTAATGGTGACAATACCTCCATTCGTAGTGCACATATCAAATGATGGGAAATGCATGCGATGTCCTTTGTTACTGAATACCAATGCAATTTCACATCTATGGGAGGAATACGTTTTGAAAGAAAAGTGTTAAATTGCTTGCAAAGAATTATACCTAAGAATCAGTGTCACTGTGTATTAAAGCTGTATGACTAAACATCTTTTAAAAAGTCTTTTAAGCTTTATATTAGTGTCTTTTATTTGTTGCCGGCTTGTGTTTGCACATGTTCATATCTGCACCGTATATACATGTGTATCTGTATTTACGTGTATGTACAGTCTCTATTTACACATGTATCACCTTAGTTCAGTAACATTTTTTATGTGTTTTGTGGTAATAGCTCATTAGTTTAGCTGACCAAATCAGCTTCTTTAGACTCTGACCTCCTGCATCTGGAGCATTCGAGAAAATATCTAACTGCAAATCATCTTCAGCCAGTTTGCTTCACAGCTAAACTTGTAACGGTGATACATCATTACTTCCTGAATGTACCAGATGCTGGCCAATCAGCTTCTCCACCTTAACCAATCATAGGCGTATACTACAAAGCTAGTTGGACTTCTTTGCACTAGATCAACCTAAAACTACAGTGTTAGGTATCATCACAGTGGCATTGTCTCTTTGTTAACCTGAGCTTTCGGCTTCAGGGTCCGTGCGCATCCACATATTGTTTGATTCTTCCTCTGCATAAAATACAACAGTTGAAATAGAGCTCTAATGCAGGGTGTATAGGTGCATCCTTTATGTTTTAAACAGTGAAGCATAAACGAAATAAGACATAAAACCATGACAGGAAGTAGAAGACATGCTAACAAGTACTCAGTTTTTTTTTTAGGTTTTAAAGGTTTTTAGGTTTTGGTGTAGGAAAAGTTGGTTTGATATCCGATATCCTGACATTTTGATGTGAATATGATCAAAAGAAGCTCCACATACAAGTTCTCAGAAACACTGTTAAACTCCAATCACATTTGATATCACAAAATATAGTTGGGCTTGAAAAACTGTTTATTAGTTTATTTATTTGGCACAGCTTTAAAGACAACTCTCTCCTTATGTCTTGTCCTCAATTTGCATGTATGGTGAGAGGGATTTACAGGAACTGAAGATGTATGAACTGAGAAAAGAGGCGAGAGAAGTCTAGAAGTCATGCCTACATAGTCTTAGTTACTCTTTACCACCTCGGGCGCAGCCTTTTCTCTGAAAATTCACTCTTCGAACTGTATGTACCTGTAATGTTTTGCTTTGACAAAAGCCAACAAACCCCCCATGGGCCTCTTTCCCTTTAAATATGCAACATTTTTCAGTATAAAAATGCAAGTCCTGATGTTTTTTGTGTTTTTCCTCATACAGATTCTCCATCGTTGAAGCGCAAAAGGATCCCTGTAATGCTTGTAACTGTGTGCAGTGTCATCATAACTGTTTTGCTGTCCATTTGAAAAACAGTCATTCCATTATGTCCCCCAGTCATGAAGGAATATTGATTAAAAATATGTAATGCTGAATAAAAGAAATGTCAGTTTGGTCAGCCATTATTTAGGCTCAATATTTACTGCAGTTTGAAGATAATAGTTCATATTTTATGCGTTGAAAAAAAATATTTAGTGCAACTTTTTTAGCAGTTGGATTACATTGAATTCAATGTTAAATGTTCCATATTATAAACTGGGGTTGGAAAATAAGGAATATTATTTTAACTTTCTTGCTGTTAACAAAATGACAAAACAACAACAACAAAGGTTTACCTGCTGATGTGCATACTGCTCTGTACGCGTCTGTCCTGTATGTAGGTTTAGAATATTAACCCGTTTCAACATTTGCAGGTAATTTGTCAGAAACATCAAGAGAAGTTAAAGTTTATTGACGGTGGATCCAAAACAAAAGTTAATCTATGAACAAGTTAACCTGACATTTATTCAGCATGACAAAATGTAACTTTGTTGCCAAACCACTCAACTTGAGCTGAGCCTCTGAAATACTCCTTTCCATGTCCTTCCTGGTCACTTTAAATGAATATCTTGACATCATCCCAGCCTCCTGTCTTTTTTATCAGTGCCACCGTCTCCAGATCATACATCATATCTGTCCTTCTGTCACAAATCACTGCTGACGCTCATCTCCACCCACTCACCCAGTTCTGCTCCTTCACTGTTACACCTGCTTCTGTCGCGTTCCCGGGTCTGTTGACCCAGCGTTTTGAGTTTTAGTTTATTTGGATGTTATGTTTAAGTTCTTTAGGGTAGCTAAGTTCATTTGTTTATTAGTTTCTCTTTGTGTTTTCTACCCCTGTATTTAAGTTTCCCTCTCCCTGTTTCATGCTGCGTGTCTTATGTTGTCAAGTTTATATTGTCTTGTCCGCATCTCATGTTTCCTCTTTTATTTTGAAGGTCTGTGTCCTATGTCAGTGTAGTCAGCTTTGCTTCCTTTGTCTTGTTATGTCTAGTTATGACTAGTGTCAGCTGTTTCCCCATGTGTTTCCACTTCCCCTAATCACCCTTGTGTGTATTTAGTCTGTGTTTCTGTTCATTCTTTGTCAGGTTGTCTGTTGTTCACGCCTTGGTCTCCATGCCATGTTTCATGTCTAGATTTTTCATGTTGTTTGTTTAGTTCTCCCAGTTTAGGTTAATCTTAGTTTTATTTCAGTTTGCCTTGCCCTTTGTTTGTACCTTTTTTACCATCCTCATTAAACAGCTCGCTTTTTGTTAATTCAAGTTTTGTTCCACGTTCTATTTTGTCTGCATTTTGGGTCCTCTGCGTCACTCCATACAGTCTGCCTCTGCCAGACCATGACAGCTTCCCTCTTATCGATGCGTATACCCTCTCTCGCTTCAACTGACCTTTATTCCTCGTTTCTCCAGCGCATACCTACACCTCTGTAGGACTCCACATCACATAAGCTAATTCTCTACATTTAAAGCTACTTTTAAAATCCCTACTACCACCTCTATACACCAACCTTTCCTTCTCTCTCACTGCCTCCAAGCACCCGCCACCCCACTCCTCCTCCTTTGGTTTTGTCCAATAGTAGCATAGAGTTTACACAAAATACCTTCACTGACACAACCCTCCACATTTATCTGAGCCTGGGACCGGCAGTAGAAGTGCACTGGCTTGTTGTCATCTGTAACGGTTGTACAAAAACAGTTGAGATATTTCAGAGCTCAACAAAAAACACTAAGAAAAACCTGCTGTTAAATGTTGCATTTCTTATAATTTACTGAACAATTAAAAAAGACAGACTTGTTCAAATGATCTGTATTAAATGTCTTTTATTGCACTTGTGGTTAATATAATTAACACGGCACTTTAACAGTTCATCACACGTGAGATCTGTCTTTGGATTGAATTATATTTTTGAAAATACTGTCAATAATTGTTAGTCCAAGAAGCCATGTTTCTGAAGACTCAGCTAAGTAAACAAAGGCTATATTGGCACTTCCAGGTGATATAACATTGATAACTTGTAGTATATACTAAGTGTAAGTTCTTCCAAATAACAATACACATAAAAAATACCCAGTGTCTTATTCATGTTCGGCAAAAGACAAGGTGAAAGTGACGTTACTGTGTCGCATTAGAACAGAACAAACAACTTTAAGGTGCTGGAATTATAAAAATAATGTCGGCATTGGTCGATCCTCTTCTTAATTCTCATAGCTGTGTAAGAATATGAGTCTAAAAACAAAACTCACCCTCCAGAGGTTTCTCTAAGTGTTCATACCACCTTTATGCTGGGTGGCCTACAGGTTTCTGTAAAATTTCTGCCAAACTGATGACTCCAGTGTTTCACTCCGCTGCCTTTCATTTATTTTTAAACTTTGAAATGTAAAAGCAGTTTTACTTTATACTCGTCACAGTTTGAGATATTTATTTGAAAGCGGTTTTTGCAGAGTTCAGCATTCTCAGCGGGAGTACGGCTTCCACCCATTCATTCGGGGTAGCCATCATGCGCTCCCACAGCGCCACCTCATAAGGACTCGAGTCCATCCAGTCCACCACTGCTCCGTAACTTCTGCCTACAGAGAGAGAGCGAGACAAAAAAAAGCACCAAAAAAAAAAAAAAGTCATCGTTCCAGCATGAAACTTAAATTTCTTAGAATAATTATCTCTTATCTACATCATATAAAGCCTTTGTTTTCTTTCTACACACTTTGATCTAGAAACACTACTCACATTATGTCATTCTGTTTTTGAAAATTACATTCTGCACACTTTTATGTTTCGCAGACTATAAAGGCTGTGCATGCAACCAGCCAACAAGAATGATCAAAGCATTGAAGATTAAAGACATTTCACATATATATATATATATATACTAAAATGAGCAAGTCTTACTGCTTTCACTCATAATGTAAACATCAAAGCTCCAATAACTTCACAACAGAAGGCATGTTCAGTTTGTCGTTCAGTGCCACCTCAACTGGCAGCTGGAAACTTTGTCTATCCCATCTAACAGAGGTTGTCTTCATGATGTCTACACGACTGAAAGCACCGAGCTGATACCATGTGTCGCCAATCCAATATTTGCATTTGCAGTGCTTGAACAGGTGTACCTAATGAAGCGGCCGCTGAGTGTATCTCATCAGGTTGCGCATTTTCATAAGTACTTCTTCCATCAGTAGCCTACCTGTTCCAGTCCCCAGCCTCAGGCCCCCCAGCAGGTTGCTTGCGAGCCTGTCTCGGTCCCACACAGTGAGCTCCACGCATGCCTCTGTTAGATCAGCCTCTCTGATGCCATCATACACCATCGTGTGGTTAAACACCGGATCCACCGTCCTCCGCAGCACACGCGTCTTCTGGCGACTTTTCCTGCTCGTGTCTGGCAGGACGAAGCTTCAAATGAGCGGGCAGAAGAAAACATGTCGTGACTAATACAGAAGAACCCCTTAAATGACTAACTTGAGATGAATCAGCTGTGCATACCACTTTACATATGGGTCGATGGTAGCCCTGATTAGAGGCAGGTTCTTGCATTCTTTCACCCAAATGTGAATCTCTCCAGTGCTGCAACTGTCTTTAGCTACACCTTTAAAGAAAATGACATTACATTTTTATGACTCTGGTATTTCTACACAAGTATAAGACTGAACTTAAAAACTAAAACATACTGCAGTAAGGGAGGTTAATACATAACATTTTATTACTGGATTTAAATGATGCTTTTCTTTCCTGCTTTTATTTAACTGGTAATCTAGGTTGATTCTTGCACACACTTTGTACAGTGATAGTCAGCTATAGTGCTGTGAAAAAGTATTTACTGTGCACGATTTCTTTGGTTTGTTGCATATTTGTCATATTTGTTAAACGTTTCAGATCAAACACATTTTAAATATTAGACAAATATAACCCAAGGAAATACAAAATGCAGTTTTTACTCCTCTGCTGCAAAAGGCTGATGGGATATTGTCATCACCCTTCTGGGCGAGTTTACCAACCTACCTGGCAAAGTAATTACACCCCTAAATCTAATAACTAGTTCTGGCAGCAAGAACTGCAATCGAGCGTTTGTGATAACTGGTAATAAGCCTTTCATATCACTGTGGAGGAATTCAGGCTCGTTCGTCTTTGCAGAATTGTTTTAAGCAAGCCACAGTTGAAGGTTTTAAAGCATGAAAAAGCTTTTAAGGTCACACCAATCAGATTTAAGTCCAAACTTTGGCTAGGTCACTCAAAAGAAAGGGTTCCTTAAGAACTCCACCTTTATACTCATACATGATTAAAAGTTCAAAATAATTCTTATTTATCGTTCACATTACATGGTTTGTTTGTTTTTAGATGGGCAGGTGTCAACTTTCATCATTTTAAGAAAAAACAGAAGCACTGTGAAAAATATCTCCATCCAGATTAAAAACATCAAGCATTTGGTGATGTAGAAATCTTGGCCAATCAGAAGCCAAGCGGAAGGCCTGAGTTTTACATTTGAATCAAGAGTGAGGTTCAACTTCCTAAACATCAGGGGAAACACTGACATCCATATTCTATTCATGCAACTGCAGATATTAAAATCTTGCCTTTGTCTGCCACTGCAGGAAATCGCCTCACATGAAACAAATGATGTGTTGTGCAGTCTGATGTCAGAAAAGGAAAAAAGGCACATGCCTTTGACGTTATAGGACAAAATCTGTTTCCTTGCACAGAAGGAAATGCAGAGTATGAAAATCTTCAGCCAAAAAAAGTTTTTCAAAAGTCAAAATGCAAAGAAAAATACCCATGTATGTGAGGACAGGGTGTTACACAAGTCTTTTTTTAACACGTCTCCCTTTAACCCGACTTTCTTCTGATTGGCTCTATGTCAGAATAACAGAAGCTTTGACAAACAGGTGAGAGGCTGCTGTGCTCACTGTAAACAATACTGCTAATCTAATATAAAAAACAGAGGAGGATTACTTGCAGACCTTCGCTGTGGATGATCTGTGGCAGGAAACGTATGGCTAGTTTCATCTCTCCTCGGTCATTTGATGGCGCTAGCGTGGGCGTCGTCTAAGACACGGGAGACATTACATAAACACCCGAAAACTTCATCATGTGACATCTGATATAACCAACTCAAACAAGACTCTGGAAAATAAATGAGCGGACGGACCACATTCTCCAGATAAACCGCCGTTATGCGATGAGAAAACAATCTCGCAGATAAAGAAGCCTTTGTGCGTGTTTATCTTTTTTCTTACCCTGGCTTTCAGGGCTAAGTAGTTCATCTGGGTGTGGTCAAAGTCCCACTTAGACAGCTCCACGTCTACCTCGCCCAGGAAACTGTTCTTGCCAAACGTGTCATGATGCCAAACAGAAAGAATGAGTGTCTGGGTCCTGAGATACTCCATGCGAACTCGATACTGGGAGGATAGGAAAGAGCAGGGCGCTTTTATTTGCTGTCAGGCAAGATTTACGGTGTGGGAATATTTGTGTGTTGGTAAAATATCCACATATTCTTACTCTGAGGATCTCGTTAAAAGTCGGGTTTAACGTCTTCTTTTTTACCGATGTTTTCCTCTTTCCGAGATTAGCTTTATCGGGCGCCAGGTAGCTCTTGACATACCTTAAAAAGAAAAAGAAAGCACATCTTACAGAATATATGGAGGAAGTAGTCACAGTTAGTGGCCAAAAATGGGCTAAAATGAATAATAACTTATTCGTTTTTGTGTGATATGGTGACAGAATATAGTAGAAATGGATAAATACAATAAGTTATGAAAAAAAAAACAACTTTCTTATACTTCAAGTTTCTAGTGAAAGCTGAGGAAACATCATGAACCACATGCACTGCTGTTCTGACCTTGCCACTTTGCTATATTGCAGGTAAATGCTAGTGCTATAGTGGCTACAGCCATCTCTTATATACAGTCAATACTCTGTATATGCCCCTCATTATTATTTTACAGTGACTTAAAAGAAACCTGGAGTCCTTTTTTGGGGGGGACAGGTGAAAACATGATGCAGGAATATCACGTTTCCTTTCATTGGTTTATAATCTAGTATGGAAGTAGCACTCACGGATCTGAGCGGCCCCTTTTCGGGTCTACAGCAGCCAAGTCTCGGCACTCGGCCACAAAAATGTGAAACTCTCTGAGCCGCTGGACGTAGTTGATGGAGAACTGGATGCTTCCCTGGACCTCCACATTCGCAAAGTCTGCACTGTACATGGTCATCACACTTCCACTTAGCTGAAAGCATACGCAAACATGAAGATAAACATTGTTTATTATAAAACAAAGCAGAAGACGGTCTGATGCATGCATGTTTGAGCTTTTGGTTATTGAGTTTTATTGTGCAGCAGGTACAGACGGAGAAGGAATGTGTGAGGTACAAACAGTGACCAGAGTTCTTGTTAGTGCACTTTTCTATACTTTGACCTGATCAGTGCTACAAACCTTAGCGCTGGAAAGTTGCTGTGAACTGCACTAAGGTGTGGGGAGGATTCAAATTTCTTTTAGAGCTATCAGTTTTCTCCTTTAAAATCATCTCTATGGATAAGCTTAAAAAAAAAGCCCTACTTGACAAACCTCATATCTCACTCAGCATTTCAGTATTTGTTGCTCCAGGGCTCACTGGAGCTTCCTAAGGCCTGAGAAGTGGTAAAATCACAACAAAATTTAAATTTACGCTTGATTAAAAGTGTTCACTAATCAAGATTTGGCCGAAGACCAACTTTGTTTAGCTAATGCACATCTGCTCACGTCTGGTTAGCCTCCCACTGTTCAGCTGAGGTGCAGTGCACAGATGCTTGGCAGCTCTGGGATCTTTCTGATTCTGGCTGTCATCCCGACATGGGTGCAGTGGTGGTAGAAACATTTATTTATGTCAGTATCAATACAACTGGAGATATTCTACTTCACATAATATTCAAAGTATAAGAAAACTGATGATTAATGCTCATATTAAACAAAGTTTACAAAAGAATGAGGTCAGTGTATCACTGTAGGCCACGACATGTTGGCGGCTGTGCCAGCAATAGCATGAATGCTAAGTGGAATGCAGCCTTCAGGACACCTGTATTGTTAATTTAAAGCTTTTGTTGTGTAAAAAGGTTTCTCTAGTTCAGCTTAAAGCCAAGAAGCAGCGCAGTTACAGTGAGAGATAAGTGAATGGGAAAAATGCACATGCAAAGCGATGCATTCTGCTGTGTATAAACATACAGAAGACACAGACGGCCTGCCAGAAGAGATGGTGAGGTTAGACATTGAGCTGCCCATTATTAGTCTCTCTCGGGGGTAACTGTCCTCGCAGGTGGAGTCAGTGGTTTCGCCAGGATCCTACAACACAGACAGCAAACAAAGCTCTGTGCTCGAAGATGCAGTGCAGGCTTTTTTCTACAGGACTAAAAGATGCAAGAAGTCATTTTACCTCCTTCTGTAAGAATGAAGGAACTGATTTGCTCATCTTCTTCAGGTGGTCTGGATCCGAAAATAAGGCCGAGGAGGGTGATGCGATAACAGAAGCTAGAGCGTGGTTAGTTGGGAAGCAGAAGATTAAAATACTGATTAAATTTCCGTTATGATCGCAAGAAAATGTATATCCTCCGGAGACCCAGCCTAATTATGCATGTCCTCTGTAGTAGACACAAAAATCAGAGAAAAAGTTAAACTGAGAGATACTTTTTTCCCTTGGTTCTCAGAAGGATAAAATAAGATAAGTATTTGTCTTATCATGTCTCGCATAAAGTTCCTAATGTTGTAAATCTGCTCAACATTTGGCAATAAAATCCTTTCTGAAAGGAAAAAGGCAGTTTCTACCATCGTTAACGCGCCTGAGGTCAGAAGTTGAGTCCTGTCTTCTTTCTTGTCCTTGGAGAAACAGAATTAAGAATCAGTCATCTCAAATTGTGTCTACAAATGGAAGATTCGGGCTTTAGCATTGAGAACGTGCTCACGTGGTGATAATGATGCGGTGATATCCTCCATACTTTTAGCCAGATTTTTGGGCCGTGCTTCTGCTCGCCGCAGTGCTTTCCTTACAGGATTTTGGTCACCGTCATCATTTTCACCTGCAACCAGCGGAAAACGCTCTGATTAACTGATTAATGGTCTTGAAAGCTGAGAAAGCACCATGAAGCAAATTAAGGGCACTGATTAATGGCTGTCGTCTGGATCCTGGATGCGTGGAGGAAACTTTTAGACTTGACAAAAGGTATAAATAAGGTTTATCTATTCTTATTTGAATGATAAATAGTCTGAAATATTTTTAAACTGTTCTAGGAAAAAAAACCCAGAAGCATGTGAAAAATGGCAATCACAGTATCCCACTACAGTGTTTTTCGGTTAACGGCATTGCAATGCAAAGACAAGAGGCTAATCTGCTAATCTTTGACAGCTGATTATGAAACAGCTTTTGATCAGCTGATTATTGCAGCTCCATTTACTTTGAATCCACAAATGAAAATCGAAGTATTTGAAGTTTGAGGTTTACAATGAGGTAATAATGAAAATACAAAAGAAAAGAAATTAACCTTTAAACAATTCAAGATCTGAGGTTTGAAGAATATATATATAGCACTATAAAACTACTGTTGGTGAAATATTGTTTTGTTTTTGCTTTTTAATTAAGCTACCCAGCCCACAAATTAAACACAGACAGCTGACTGCAGGTACACAGTCTGTTTACTGAGATTTGCTGTTGCCAACACAGATAACCCGACACGGACACAATGTCAAGGACACAGCTGGATCCAAGCCATGATGACAAACTGTATCGGAGTGTACACACAGGAGTACGACCTACACAAAACAGCTGTTGAAAAAAATTAGATTGATATTTGCGATGAATGGGAGGGATGCTCGTTTATTTATTTTCTGGTTTATTTTATGCAAACTAATTCATTTCAATTTCTTTAAATGTTTCCAGCAACCCACTGGTACTATTTGCAGATGTCACCCATAGGTTGCTACAGATCACCTGACGCGAGGATAATCCATCTTCAAACAATCCCGGGCCACCTTGGATTTACTGTAATTTACATGAGCACACCTGGTCTGCGATGCGTCTCTCTGAAGTAGGGACTGCTGGTTGTATTCTACTTATAGACAGTCTCTGTCTGGGCTATTCAAATGACCCATTTCAAAAGGTAACGATATCACAAGGTCATAGCAGTTGCAGTGCACTGTTCAACCACTTTTCTCAAGCATAACTGTAGCTGAAGGAAAAAAAACTTTATGACGACATGTATAAAACCATTTTAGAGAGAAGTTCTTGCTTTGAGTTGCAGTAGAAAGTAAAACATCAGATTGAAAACTGGTGCTTACGATTTGAACTGTTTCTCGAGTTGGACCAGGTTTCTGACGTGCTGCTCACAGAGGACTCCTGGCCAGTGTCTGAGCTGCTGTAGTTTGCCCACAGGGGGCGTTGACTCATCTTGTTGACCTTCCTGCTGTATCGCTCCTCAGAGCTAACCGGTGTGCTGGCCCTCACCGGCCCAGTCAGATCCAGTTCATACCCAGATTTGCCCTCTGACCCCTCGTCCTTCACGGCCGGAGCGAGTGAGGTGTGGACGCTGGTCTTATCCGTCATCCCCAGGTAGTGCCGGTAGTCTCTAGGAACAAAGGCGCGTGCTCGTGGAGTCAGAGCCTCCGTTTCCTCTGATCGTCTCGGCACTATAGCTTTCTCAGGGTTCTGCCTTTGCTTTCTGCTCTGAGAGTGAACAGGGCTGACATCCATTTTCAGTTTGCTTTGATCTTTTTCATCGGGAATGCTCAAAGCGAACATGCTGGTGGCGCGGCGCATAGAATTACCCCGACTGCTCGAACAACCAAAGCTGTCTTTTCTGCTCTTAGGAATACGACTCTCTTTTCCTGAGCTGTTTTGTGGTTTTGAAGTTTTCTCCTCTCTGCTGGAATCTTTTGAGCTCTTTCTGGACAATCTTTGTTGGCCTGACTCAGTTGAGTTATAATTAGGTGGGTTGTTTTTGCCATCACCCAGTGCTCTGGACCCAGAGCCCGTCTGTCTGTCATGTGGCGACTTTGATCGATTCAGAGGAGGTGGAGATGATTTCATCACGGCTGGTCTTGTTTTCTCGACAGCAGAGGATAGTCTGTAAATCTCTGGATCAACAACCTTTACGTCCTGAGACGACAGCTGGGCACTTATTCCCTCTTTCCTTTTGGGGCTTTTGGGTTTGTCAAAGGAAAATGATCCCTTGGAGTCTGATGTGGCCTCATCCCAGAACTCGCGTAGAGTGTTAAACTGGGCCCGGCTTGTGCCGAGGCTCGGAGACAGCTTGTCTATTCTCTGATTCAGCGGCATAATAGAAAAATTTTGATGATTTTTGTCATAGTTTTCATCGTCACTACCTGACTCATTGCCAATTGACCTCAGGTCATATTCTGATTTTGTGAATCTTTTATTCAGTTTCGCCTGATTTGCTCCACGAGCCACCTTACCATCTCCGAAAGCTCTAGGTTTGCCGGTATAAAACATGGGCTTGTTCCTCTCCTGCTCCCAGAAGGATTTGAGCTGCTTTATTCGCTCTGCAGTGCTTTCTTGGTTTTGCAACGCCTGCCTATTTAGATGAGGACTGTTAGTCCTGTCTTTATTGGATGACTCCTCTTTTCTTTTTGGAGACATGCTCGAATGAATGCTTTTATCCTCACCTGAACCTCTTTGAATTTGTGCTTTTGTGGTGATCTGCACATCATTCCCAGGTTGCTTATAGTCCATGTACACATTGTTTCTGGTTAAACAGAGCTTCTCAGAATCCAGGCTGGCCCTTGTTAGAAGGTCTGTATCCAGCTGAGACACAGGGAGACTTTTTGAGAGCTCTTCTGGCAGCAGGACTTCTCTTGGTTCAGAAAAGCTGTCAGGTTTGATTAAAGAGATGCTCTCAGACTCTGGACTGATGGCCGTCCTTGCCGGTGCTCTTGTTGTGCAAAAAACCTCAGCATCTGAACCTCTTCTCTCACTGGACAGCAACATCAAATAATCTGACTTATATGTTGAATCATCATTACCCTCTTGGGGCAAATTAATCACCAGATTGTCTGCTTGCTGGTGGTTATTTAAATGAGCACTCTCTCCTACATCTGTAGTGATTAGCAGCTGCTCTTCTCTTTCATCACTTGGATTTGAAGCGTATTTATCATAAATCTCATTCCCGCTGTATATTCCAGGAACCAACGCCATATCAGAACTTTTCTCTGTCGTCAGCTGAGCGGATTTTTGACCTTTGTCGCCAGACGAGACCGACTTCCCAATGAGTATTTTAGGGCCTGTATTGCTTTTCTCCCAGAACGACTTCAGATAAGATATTTTAGGTGGTTGGCTTTCATCGGCATCGTCTTTCACATCTTGTGAATGCATTCTCTCTCTGGTCCCCGTCTTCACCTCCTCTTGTGATTCAATCACTTCCTTGCTGCCTCTTCTGTCAGCGGCTCTGAGCTCTTTGTCATTGTTGATCTGTCTTTGCAAATGATTCCTCTTTGTTTCAAGCGTTTCCTTTTTCCTGTCACTTATCATATCCACAGCATCTTTCGACAATAAATCCTCAGCTCTTAATCTACTAACTTCCACATGTTTGTCAGGGCTCTTTGTAACCACTGGATCGTCTGAATTTAGCCAATCGCTGCTGTCCGTGCTGCGGCTGAACCACTCCAGCACCTTTGCAATGGATTCCTCATCCTCACCAGTGGGACTGGTGGCCTGAGTGGATAGCTTAAACACATTTGCATGATTTGACCTCTGGGTTTGCTGATGAGACTTATCAACGAAGTTGAGATCATAGGATACAGGGAGATCTGGATCTAAAAAGCAACGTGGGGAAATAGAATTAGATACTTGGCTCTACTTCAATAAGCGGCGGGATTACAACATCAATTTAATGAATAAATAAAACAGTATTAGTGTACAAGGTGTGACCAAAGAGCGCTACAACCCACTGAGGAAAAAGCATTTCTGACTTCAATTTCAGCTCTCTGCCCTTCAAGGTCTTCTCCTTGTTCACCTCTGGACTTATTCCAGCACTCCTGTGTTTTTAAAGTCACTCTACAGAAGTCAAGTTCTAATCACTTGTCACTGTGATGCTTGCTGGATCTCCTGAAGTTTTGACACATTAAGTTAAGTTTAAAGGCCCCCAAAGGTTCTGACCTTCAAATTTCTCATCTTTAAGTTGGTGGGAGCCGAATTTGTCTCTTTCTTTTATGTGTTATAAGCCGGTGCAATGTTCTCCTTCGGCTGCCCTGGTAAATTACAGGAGAGTTCAACATTGACTCACTAAATTCACAGCACACAGTAGAGAAAATGTGAAAAACAAAGCAAAACACTGACTCTCTCTCAGATAAGCTCCTAATTTGATGTGTCGCCTTCAAGTTTAGACTCGCCTTCACCGGTGATGATCGCCGGCATGAATGTCGGGTCACCTTAAACCTGAATTTGAGGTTAAATTTCTGGTGAAATCACAGATGTGTGAGTGCATGAGGAGTGCTTGCGTACTGTAGGAGTGCTGGAAGCTTGCAGAGGCGGAAAATAAGATGACCCTGAAGGGGAAATGGACCTCATATAGCAGTATAACTTTGCGGTGTTGCTATATTGATGGCAGTGTGATTTCATATTTAGTCTAAAGTAAAACATTTTAACAACATTTTAAGAGCGTGATAAAACTTGCTGACCTTAGCAAACCCTCGATTTTTCATTCAGGCGATCGCCCCTTTTAATTGTGTCTTATATTTGTTTTATTGCCCAATACATTCAGATAATCTTATTTTCCTAATTATGGTTTAGAGCTCATTCTTGAATCTTAGTACTTAAATATTAAAATGGTGAATATTGTGTTTATTATACTTGCTACAAATCAGTATGTTAGATAGTCGTCCACAGTGGAGTTAAATTGGATTTGCTGGAATTACGATATATTATCTTCTGTTAAATTTTTGGACATTGGCTGAAGTGGGGAAAAAAAAAAAAAAAAAGATTAATCGTCTGTCTGTAGCAGACAAACAGAGGAGAATACCAGAATGGAAGATACACTCGGGGTCACAAGATAAATAAAAGATGAAGAATGAAAAAACAATATTTCCCCCCAAAAAATGTCAGTTTTTCAGACTTTTCTCTGATTTTATTCATTTTTTTAAACTTTCACCTCTTTTCATCTCCTCCAATCCTTGAAAGAGGAATACATGCCTGAAAGCCCTGCCCTGTCGTACCTTGTTACTGAACTTACCCACAATGTTTTGGGGCAAACTCAGCTCCTCCTGCCTCATCGCTGGCCCCACACGGCTGTTGTTTTCTTTGTCCTGAATGTTGGTGGTAGGCAGCGTGACAAAATTCAAAGGTGGAAGCTCTCTTTGAGGTTGGTCATCTCGTTTTTCACTCCTCTGCGATGGTCCCGTCTCAGTGGACGCATCACTTCTTGTGTATCTGGACACTCTGAAAATATACAGGTTGTGAGTTACAGTGGAAGGATGCAAACGTTTAATTACAGGTTCCCAGTATAAGTTTCCCACTGACCTGTCTCTTGTTATAGAAGCTGGGTTTCTCTGTCTTTCCAGACTTGAATTGGAGGAAACCTGAGAGTTGTCACACAGTGACTGCAAGGAGTTTTCATCTGCAGATGTGGATGACCGGGCTACCTGATTAGACACTGCACTTCTTTGAGGCATTTCATTTTGGCTCTTCAGGCCAGACTGATTAGAGCTCCCGCTGGATCCCCGCTGCAGCCTCCATCGTGGTGTAGGAATAATCCCCGCTGACCCCGGCTGAGCATCCAACCCCAGACCATTGCTTTCAGACGGACTGAGAGGACGTCTGGAGAGAAAGGTCCTCTTCTTTGGCACTGGCCTGAAACCTACAGAGGAGCCCTCTGATGTCTGATTGGCCTCACCTGCTGGGTGATTCTTCAGTGGAGAGACGGGCTCTGAGGACAGAAAAGATAAGAGGCTCACTGCGGGATACCCTCAGATAGCCCCGCAAAGATCTGTATGTTCAAATTTCAGTTCAGACCTGTCTCCAGTGACTCCTGGTCTCGACTGGCTGACAGGTAATGATTATTTTCAGGAGGCTCAACAACAACAAGGGAAGCACGGTTAAAAGGGTTATGCCTCGGCTTGAAGACAGAAAAGAATGAAATGCGCCGTTAACTCTACAACAGGAAAAAAGAAAAGGAAAAAAGAAAGTCCAGCCTGTTTTTCAACACGTACCATTCTCGGGGAGCGAATCCCTGAACTTTGATTCTCTTTTTCTGCATCACTGGGAAAAAAGAATAAAAAAAAAAAATGGGTGTATTTTTAATCTAATATGTAAACAACACCGTGCATGACTGGGACTCGCGACAGTAAAGAGTAATGACATTAAAGAAGCAAAAGATGTCTGCCCATCCAAACCACCCAAACATCAAAGGAGCAAACATATGAGACAACACTTGCGACATGTCTATGTTGTGGCTGAATTAAATTAATCTAATGCAATTCATTTAACTGCGTTTAAATCTCATGTGATGTAACGAAGCAATGGGAAATAAATGCACTGCAAACCAACACTGTCAGAGTGCAAATACCTGAGAGGGGCTAAGTCAAATATTGACTGCACTATAACAGAAGTGTGCTGAATGTGTGGCACAAAGTGACTTCACTACACAGTCAACTGTGTGACTAATCCAGTCTTATATTAACAAAAGGTCTTACAATAAAAAACAATCTTCTCATTCAAATTAGAACCATAGGATAGGACGATCCAGATTTTTTTTTTTTTTGCATAACTTAATTTCAAACATAACAACAACATCTCGTAATGTCCCAATCGGAGTAATTGCTCTGAGAGTTTTATCGAGTTAAACACTTTGCCCAGAAGGTACAGTAGCCGCTGCCTGGCTATAAAACAGATGTATTCCTTGTCAGCACCACCTATGTTTACACAGGCTGAGTCACAAGACTCCGAGTACATATTCACACTGACGGGGTGACGAGAGAGATAAACAGAGCTGGTTCAGCCTCAAGTGATAATATCAGTGTCTGGTAGCGTTACATGTGAACGCATCCTTCGCGGTCTGTTTCTCGAGTCACAGTGAAGCTGCTACTGGTATCAGATCGATATTAGCACGGCAGGATCAGTACTTGTAATTTTTTTATATACAGTTTCTTTTGGACATCATTGAATAGACCTCAAACATGAGAAATGCCTGAACCTTTTTGTGTTGACATAATAACATTTGCAGTATTGCACAGCACTATAGGAAACAACTGCTTACCTAATCTGCTGTGGCTGCTCTGCTTCCAGCTGTCTGGCAGGTTTCAGTGGAGGAACAATGTCTGAAGCTCGACTGCTCACGACCTTGGGTCTGTCAAGTCTAAGAGAACCATCTGCAGGAGAGAGAGGTTTGGAAAAGTCTGTGAATAACAACACTCTCCAGGATGATGAAGCAGAATAATTCTGATTTTCACCACACGTTGAGAGGGAATTCTTTCCTGGCCTCATTTCTGACCTCAGCACTCTGTATGTATTTACCTCCGAAAGGCTAAAACATTTAAATCCAGCAGATCAGTAAAATCTGTACTTGCCTCTGTTGTGATAACAGGGTGCTGTGGTCAAAAAGAGGAAAAGTTTTTTTCCCCTGAGCACGAAATGTGCATTTAAAACTCTTAGCGAACAGTGCAGAATGAGCAGACCTAAACTAGCCGCTTTTCCTTGTTTCATGGAAGCCAGAATGATTTCCGAGCCATGGATCTTGTCCCTGTGTCTGCGTGACTTGGCCTCGTAAAACCACTCTCCTGTCAGGTACTTCAGTTTAGCGTCAGACTGGGAGGTATTGTTTACTATGTCCTCCAGTTTCCTGTTAGGATATAATAAAAAGAATAAAATAGACATACACAAAAGAGAAATGAAGTGAAAACGCTCAAGTGGAGAGGTTTTTTCTGTATAATTTCTAGTTCTTTTATGCAGTGTGTTAATCCTAGCTGAGTGGCACGTCTTGCTGAATGGCTACAGACACAAAAAAGAGCAAAAGCGAGACAATGCTCGCTTTCGGTTGCACTGAATGAAAAATCTGACACCATTTTAATTCACTTTGAGCAGGACTAACCTGCAAATATGGGGTGAAATACAAAGCCAAGAGCGCAGAAAGGACAGACAAACTCCCAAAAATCTTTTAAAGGTGTTCACAATGCAATCAACATAACACAAATTCTCTTTTGTGTTTTTAATCGTGTGAAGCATTTTTCAGATTTAAGCTTAAGCTAATGATAAGCTTCTGATTTTACTGTGCAGGAATTCGGAAAACATTTCCATCAACTTTAAATTGAATCAAAGAGGGAACAAAAAAATTCCTCCGCCTTGAGCTGACTGCTCCAACTCATCTTTCCTCCTTCACAGAGGAACTCGGTGGTCATGTGAAAAAAGGGTAGCACATTATTACAGACTGTTGGCTTAATCCTTTTACACTAGACTGGCCGAGACACAGTGAGCATTCAGCCCCCCGCTGATGGAAAAAGTCAGGCCGGCCAATTGCATTAAGGCCACAACAAAAAGCACGCTGTTTGATGGCATTCTCGATTTTTGAAAATGAAATCAAAACAGGGTACACAGCATCGGGGATTTTTGATAGTTTGCACGCATGGTTGCAATTTGAAAGACGAAGTGTGCACTTTTGTTTCAGGACATGGGAGAGGTCAGAGAAGATGTGAGCTTCTTGTTTGTCTTCACACACCCTGAATATGCACAGTGAGGAAGTTCTGACCCCGCCCAAAGGTGCTAAGACGACAGGGAAACAGCAGATGTCAATTGTTTTAAAAGTCCTAAAAAGATATGACCAAATTAAACTTCTTTTCCCCATCACGTTCGACACTCTTGATGCATCTCCCATCACTGAGGCCTTTAAGGGTTTCTATTCCTGTCCATCAGACCAGCATGATCCTCTCCCACGTGTGGACTTGGCTGTAATCTAATTGCTCATCTCACATTGAGGTTTCTCAGCTATGGAGGCAGCGTCTGTGTCCAGCCAAGCTGTTACTGTGTTATTGGATTATGAGCAGACAAATATTATTTTGACGATCCGACAAAGGCCTCTTCTCACAGAACGGGTGACAGAGGGACTTGGGAGTTCTTATTAAATCAATAAAATGACATTAGCTCAACAACATGACATTAACTTAAGAGTCAGCCCAAAATGTCTCAGCGCATGTCAAGAACAGAGCCAAGCAGCGACACGCGAGTAAACAGTGGCTTAAAGGGCGTCCAAAAATATGACTTCATATCGTCATACGTGACTGAGACTCAAATTTCAACCTGACTCTCTCCTCCTCTGCCTTCTTCAGTTCAGCATCCCTCTTCAGCACCGTCATGATCATCGCCTGCTCCTCCTCCGTCAGGTGGCTCAGGTCTATCATGGTTCCTTCTCCTGCTTTTCTCAGCGGACAGGTGTGGAAACGGTTGCTGGTTCTGTCAAAGTATACAGCAGTTAATTCAGATCCTGTAAAGTTCTCAAAGTTTAGAGCTGTACCCTTAACTCTTTACCCCTTGAAGGACTACCAGCAGTGACACCTAGAAGCTCTTCTCTGATCTAAGTGGTTTCTTTAAAATTTCAGGTCTGCTTATAGAACAAAATGACTGGGTTTGCATTAGAAGTTAATGAGGGTGGTCACTGTCTATGCAGCTACCCCTCTATACAGCAGGCTTCTCATTAAGAGTGACGTGGAGCCCATTTTTTCCAATTTAAACCAGAAGCCGGTCCAGTATTTAAAGCAATGAAAATAATTCCATTAAAGGAGTTATTGTTAAAGCTGTAGCTCCTATATTTTCTACTTTACCCAAGTATATAGCTGCCTTAAGCTGCTTTCAACTTCTAGTGCACTGCTATGGTTCTATCATGTGACTGATGGAGGTTTAACAAGGTTTACACAGAAGGTTAAACCTACAAAACCATCAATATTAAAGATCAAATCAGGGGCTCCTGTTATTTTTTGGCTTGTATGTAGTTTCATAGTCACATCTTATAGAAGTTCACACAGTGAATTTCTGGATATTGAATATGGGAACTTTTTTGAAGAAGGGGGTCAGGTTGGAAAGTAAGCAGCTCCTTAACGACGGGAACAGCTGCTTACACACTGATGCTATTGATATAAGCAAGTCATATATATTAATGAGCCACAGGCACGTATTTACTGTTACTCTAATAAGTACCCAAATTATGTTTAGAGTAATAAGGGTGCCTGAGGAAAAATATTCTATCAGTGGTGCTAAACTTTAGCTGGTGTGCTCTTTTTTATATAAAAAAGTTTATCAAGCGAAAGAGATGCTGATACTTTAACACTAAACTTTGACATCTGGACAGTAACGCGAGGAATCGTCTGGTCTTTGTGCAGCTGATGATTCCTTCAGAGATAACCAACAACAGGGCGGACGCAAAAGTTTTCTTTGGCTGAGCAAACTTAAGCACATGAACGTTTCATAGAGTAAAAAATGGTTTTAAATGAAGCACACCTGAGAAGTCTCATGTTAACCTATTAACGTGAGTGGCAGAGGTTTACCTTAAATCTCCAGAGAGTGTCACTTCCTTTCTTTCCACTTCAAACTCAACAAGTGTAAAACATCGTTTGTTTGTGTTTTATATTTGCCTACCTTACAGGACACCTGAGGACTTCTCACAGCCCGCTTCTGTCTTTCCCATCTTCATGTTTTACAAAAAAAGAGAATCACACGGGAAATAAAGTTTTTACCTCCTCCACAGGACTCCTGCTGCTGGATGCGCCGGATCTCCGGACATGCGCGTGGGAGGGGGCGGACTCAGAGCGCGTGCATGGGGAGGATCTGATGAGCATGAGCTGCAGTTTTTAATTTGACTTTCAGTAACTATATAAATATTTATTTTTATTTATGAATGTCTGGGTGTTTCATGTCAAGTTCAAGCTTTAATTTTTAACTGATCTAACACTTAAATATAAATGAATTATGCAGTCAGTGGTGTAATGCCAGGTAGTGTCCAGCAGGTGTCTCCAGTTTACACACGTTGACATCATCGGTCTGTTTGACAAAAGGGTGTGAGCATCCTCACGGGCAGGCGAGGCTCTAGGACAGCCCAAACCTCAAATACAAGCTTACAGCAAGGCACTGTTTTCCCTTCCGCCTGCACTCTGAATGCTGTGAAATTATTTGGAGTAAGCAGACCATAAATATTCCCACGGTGACCCTGATGTGGTTTCAGGGCACAGCCACAGTTTCAACACCTGAGTCCTTCCTGGTTTCATGTTTTCAGCTTAGGAAGAGCACAAATAAAAACGGTTGGAAAGTGAACTGTGACATAAGCTGCACAAAAATCCTGTTATAGGTTTTATATTTGAATAGCTCATGAATTGTGCTGATTTTATTTAGGTCTAATACATTTTAGACTCTGACTTCTCTAGTCAGCAAATTAAACCTTAGTCTACGGAATATTTTTCCCTTTATCATTTAACCGTCTTGTGACCCCTACAGCAAAAAACAAAACAACTGTCCTGAACCAAAGACCTTAAAAATCTTTGGCAACTGGTTAGTAACCATGTGACTATGTTGTCTACTAAAGCAGGATGTCATCTGCTGGATAAGATCCTTCAGGTGAGTCTCTGATCTTAAAGATAAAGTAGACAGAAACCCATAAAGGAAACACTCTCCCCTCTGTTTTAAGTGTCTTCCATCAGAGCAGCTGAGGGTGTATACATGTGGTCTAAAAATCAGCCTCACGTAGGATCACTACTCAGCTTTCCTGTTTGATGGCCTTGTGTTTAACTCATCAAGCCCTCTCCCTCATCCCAAGCAGCAATTTACTGAATGGCCATTTGTTGACTGGCTTCAGAAGCAAGTTGATGTCCACAGACTTCTAATGAGCGTGTTTACAACCCGGAATAAAAAACCCATTATAGTCTCAATGTTAAATTCTCTTCTTCACAAAACCTTTAGAAGTGTGGATCTTTTTATAAACCTACTAAAATAGACTTTAGGAATTAATGATAACTACTAGGGACATGAGGGTTCACAGGACAGATGCTAATCTGCAGTGTTTAACCCTTAATCCTACAAGAAACCATATTCAGCAGACTCAAATTGGCCTCCCAGTTGAGATCAGGATATCCCACAAATAGTGATGTAGCATCCCAATCCTACTACAGCATGGGTGGGCAATTCATTTTCCCCAAAGCCACACCAATGAGTTCACAGAGATTCAAATTTATACTGAGCAGAACTGAGTTTAGTTTATCCATGTGGTCCTCCACACCAGTCCTAGTGCATGCAGCCCCCTGGAAAAATAATCTCCCAACCCTGCAAGGTGTGATCAACATAAAAATTAAATGTCAAAAGCTACAAATTCTTTTAATATCTTCCGATTAGACTTAAGGGTTGAAAGACAGTCAAACTGGAGAGTAAATTTGTTTCTATTAGTATGTTACTATGATTTAAGTATAGACTGTATATGAAAGATTGATTTTTTTGGAGCCAGATGTGAGCATATTGGATGAAAGGCCAGTGATACAACCATAAAGCGCTAACATGTGTTTTTGCTAATTAGAGCCAATTAAAATACCTGATTTTCACTCACTAAAGCCGAAAAACTTCTTGGAACACACTGCGCCCACACAAGATTCAGCACGTAATTTAGTGACAGCCTGTTGTGTGAAAACGTGCTATAATCCAGTGCTATCAGGTAAACCGCTTCAACTATTAACTAGCAAAACATAAACAAGAGTTTGTGGAAGCTGCTCTTTATTTGAAAAAGAAAAGAAAAGACTTCAGTCATTGTCTGCTACACGTTCTAATTACATAAAGAAAACATCTGCGGAGACAAACGCAGAGAATATCCTGAATCAAACTTAGGTAGAGTCAAATTTGATTGAATTGCTTTCATATTTCATACATCTTTCAACGTTTGCGTTCAAAGAACAGTCAGGTTTTATATACACAGAGCACCGATCAACAGTGCGTCTCCTCTGCCACCCTGCCCTCGGGATCTTTTATACAATTAATTTACAACTAATCTGTGACTCTTTTCCCCTCCACTGGACGCGCCATCCGCCCTCCCACCCCCGCCCCCTCTCACTGAGGAACTGCAGTGTGGAAAGATGTGTGCAACATGAAGACAACTCGTTCACATTCAGAGTAAAGGCAGCCTTGATTACAGTCAGTGAGTCAATGGCATGCCAAGCTTAAAGCAAATGGAGCCCACCACCCAGTGCGACGCCTCAGATTCGTGGATGAAGTGTGTTATTTTTTTGTTTTTTGTTTGTTTTTTTCCAACTAGTCAGAAAAACTGATCCATTGCAAAGTAAAACCCTAGGCACAGAATCAACTATATACTGTTAACTGACTTGTATTCTAACCCCTGCACTTTAATTACAACGGGGACTGTGAAGTCCTTCACCTAGTAGAAAATTTTCTTAACACAAAAAGAATATTTAGTGCTCTATCATTCCGCTTAATAGGTGTCATTTATATAATAGCTATTTTTTTTTTTAACTCTATCTCTTAATGATAGTCTGAGATCCTTGTTTAATGCTGAAGCACTCCCACGTGTTCTGTAGTTTTTACATTATTATTATTTTTTCCCCCCAATCTTAAACCAATAATCATAAATAAATACAAACAACACACAAGGAATGTCTACTGTAAACACGGTAAAAAAGACAAAAACTAAACAGGTGTAAACGTCATTAGCATCACTACTTAGTGACAGTTAAATAACCGTAGGGAATAGATGACTGATGACTGGATCAAGAAAGGGAAGGACTGCTCTACTTTCCCTTCCACTCCCTCCCCTCTGAACATCAACCCTTTACATCCAACCACAGCATGTCCAAATACATCAACATTTAAGTTTCTCAGCACCCAAAACTATCTTTACAGATTACACTGTAAAACGGATAAGGAGTCCTCTTAAGGGGTGGGTGGGTTAGACAGCAGCATCACTCGACGTCTCGGACAAGTTATAGAATAATGGGTGTGAGCTATCGCCAAACGTCATCTGGACATTGTTAGCATGGTTTCTGACAGTCGCTGCACCATTGTGTGAATGTTTCTCTGAAGACTGCAACGAGGACAAAGTTTTGCTGCTTGGGTGCTTTCATCTTCCAAGAGTCACTTCCTTCAAATTACATGAACTGCATCTGCAAGAAAAGGTCATGCACAATGTTAGAAACTCACTAAAATGCCTGCAGACATAATCCAGTCCAGCAACTGTTAACAGTCAAAACCTTACACTGATATATCCTGGCAGTGATAACAAGTAAGAGAGGAGCATTCTCTCTTAGGTCCAGTCGCATAGGCCCTTAAGACCAGTTGATGACTGGCTGCTTGGGAAAACCCAAGTGGTTGCTGAAGTTTGCTAGGTGAAATCTGTTGAAAAGAGGGTGCTGCTCCAAAAAAACCCTCCTTGCGTCGATCACTGACAGATTGCCATGGTCATCTGTAGTTTGGATGGTAGATCCTGAGCTGTCAACTGCTCACCCAGTGGAAGTCAAAATGGGAAATGTGACAAACTGGAAACAGACCATTCACAACTTTTGCCTTACTGTTGAATCCAAGAGCAGCATCTTTCATCCAAACTGCAAGTAACCAAAGCAATCGAAAGGAGATTGGCAACCAGTTTCATCTTGCAACTAACAACAACCACTTGCCAAATGGTCGGGGGATGAATATTTCTTTATCCAGGTTGTTACTGATTAGTCTCTAGGCCTATGTGACTGGGACCTTAAATTAACCCAAAATCTTCATATCTAGGAGTCTTAACACTGTTAACCATGAACCAGCCTGTTCATGAGCACATTCGCCAACGACAGCACCATGAATACAAAGAGCCTTCAAATTTATGCTGAAGTGTTTCTTAAGGGCAGGACTTGTTGTTTTTAGACTTCCAGAGTACAAAAACAAACAAAAAAGGTACAGAAATTGTTAGCAGCGTTGAACTTCTCCTAATTTAAGCTACAGTAGTTAACAGAATTAGGTCCACTATTAATTAGTGTGGTTACACTACAATAATAGAAACTTGATGGAAATTAGTCTGACAACTGTGAAATTCAGATTAGTGGCTAAATCCCACATAGTTGTTCATTTCTATTACGCTATCTGCTAACGCCATCATTTCAAACACAATGTTTGTTTCTCACATAAAATAAAAATAACACTATTTGGATCATGATGATTAATTTAATTTCTCTAATACATGGATATAACATTAGCTTCATTAGCAACTACTGCTTACGTAGGTTTCTGATAGCAAAATGAGACATTTATCATTAGTATATATATATATGTGTGTGTGTGTGTTAGGTCAGAGCTTAGCAAACATGCTGTTAGTTCACCAATGTCTACACAGTTCAGAGAAAACAGGTTTGAGCAACATGTGGTGATAGTGGATGAACTAGGGGTTAGAATGAGTATGGCTAAATCTGTCAATAAGGCAAGCAATCTGAGCAACACCACGTTAACATTAGTAAAAAGCAATACATCTAATCAGATGGATTTATACTGAATACAAATTAAACAAATGGATAACTGGACATGCAAAGCATGCAGGTGCATCCACAAGCAAAGAGCATGATGTACCTAAAGAGATGCTCTACAAGAAATCCTTGAGAGAGAGGTGTGCAAACGGGTCCTGTCCAGGGGCTCGGAGAGGACTCTGGCTGGAAGGACTAGAGGCTGCAGAGGGCTATTTCAGGGAGAAATACAGGAGGTAGGAGGACCAGAGGAGAAGTCAGAGTCAGTACAGAGACTGAAGGAGGGATGAGATTAGTCTGGAGAAGCTGTGATGTATGAGAGAAGGGTTAATTAAAAAAAAAGAAAAAAGGCTTTTTTTTTGGAACAGGGAGTCAAAACAAGGGAGATGATTCACAGTTTTTGTCCCATTCAGCTCTACAGAGTGAAGGGTTCATTTGTTAAAACTGTCATCATCCTCAGCAATATCACACTGACAACAAAACTTACAGTGACTAATCATGGTGCACATCACAGCACAATGGATACACCAGTTTACTCAACCTGATAACTGTGCAAACTTTACTGTGCATCAACCCGGAGCAAACTAACGTGCACCCACCTGAGCACTAGACACAGAGCTAAAGGGGTTGGGTGGCCTCATGACCGGCTGGGAGTACATCATGGTGGGCGGATTCATCATCCCCATAGAGCCCATTTGTGGAGGCTGCAGCAAGTTAAACATCAATTTCAGAGGCGTCAGTAGTGAGCACAAACAACACAATCACATCATCCTGAATCTCTCAGATCTATCTGCTGATGAAAACTGAATATTAATATTTATAGACTGAATTAAATAAAAACTACTGAGAACTCACCTCTCACTTTACTTATCAGCCTTGAGAATATTTACATCAGCAAACAATGAGTCACTTGACCCACTTTAAGTGCATTTAATTAATTCTCCAAGTGATAAAGAGCACGGGAAATATTTATCTAACAAGCTGATTTGACAACTTCCTGAATGGATATCCAGCTTATTTTTCTTTCACACTTCAAACCAAATGAGTTTTACAGAAGCTTCACACGTACTTACCATGCCATATCCCATCATGCCTGTGGGTGTGGTGGCAGGGAAGGCCATGATCGACGGAGGCTGAGGAGACACAAACAGGTCAGGTAAGACAAGACAAGGCAACAACATTAAATGTGACAGCCACGGTGACAGGGGTACAAAGGTCGCGACTCAACAGCTGGTCTAGCTCCTTTTTAATTACCTCCTCCTTGTCAGTGCACGCTGATTCTTTACTTTTCATATTGCAAAATATGGAGCGCAACAAATGGAAACCTTTGAGGCTTTGACAAAATTAAACGATGGTTACTTTATGAGCAGATAAAAACCTCTACTCTCACGACAATAACGTGCAGCAACTCTTTGTTTTCCAGCACTAATGTCTGCCATCTAAAGCCCTCCAGGGCTTGTTAAGCTCCACTGATTGTGCGAAACGTTCATTAAAAGAATCCTGAACAACATAGCTTTACACTGCTGTAATTTTGATTCACCTCAACAATGGGTTTGAAATAAAGCAATCAACATTTGATTGAAGTGCAGACTTTCAGCTTTAATTCAAGGAGCTTAACACAAGTATTGTATTAATGTGGCTGTGGTAAAGACCTGACGATGCATCTCAAGGGAGGAAACTCAGCATTTTGCTTGATTTAGCATCAAAGTATTTCAAATAATGCCCATATCTTTATGTTAATTTGTCCAATTACTCTGAACCTATTAAAAATGGACTTAATTCGTTAAAACCGTGATTAAAAGCTGAGGACTTGCCCTTCAATCACAGCCTCATCACTTTACTTCAAACCCATTAAGCTGTTGTGCAGAACCAAATTACCAAAACTGTGCCTTTGTCCAAATATATATGTGTGTATCTGACTACAGACAGTTATAGACTGTTTAAAGCACCAGTACCTGTTCCAAGGTTCTGTTTATAGCTATGGATGTAATTAGTAACAGATTTTGAGTTTATGTAAGAGAACCCAGATGTTCTGGTTTCATGTCAGCTCTCTATTTGACAGCAGAATAAGAGCAAAAAATCTGCAGTGAAAAGTTTGTTTGCGTCACCATGGAGACAGGGTTCCAGGTCGTAGTTGGCGCCGCCTTGGGCTGCCAGTTGGTGCCGCCGGTCATCCTCTTCTCCCCTGGCTGGCTCCAGTGGATGTCACTGCGGATTAACACAGCCAATGTTAGCACCAGCCCTTAAGTGGCCC